ACACGCCTCACAAAAAACAAACGATAGCAAAAAATACAAGTAGACTCCAAAACAAATTTCACCAGAATTGTCAGAAAACCAAGCTGTGAGGACGCCCGACAGCCAAGGATTTAAAGAAGCCGCATTCATCCCAATGGGTAGGAGGGGCAGAGAGACGGAGACGTGGAGGTCCCGCATCCACGTGTGGTGGGTACAAAATGGGAGGGGCACCTCCGCCCCAGTCCAGACCACCCCGTCCAGGTTCCCAGCACCAGGAAGATAAATTCCCATAACTTCTGGCTGTAAAAACCAGTGGGGGTTGTGGGACAAAAGAAACCGCTTCCTGTCAAAGGGCCTGCAGCAGACTCCGCCCTCTCGCAGACCCACCCTCTCTGGGATTCAGCATCAGGGCAACAGCTGGACGGGCACCAGTGGCACAGGGGGAGAAAGTGAGGTGTGAGCCGGGGGACAGCTTCCTCGTTGGCAAAAGCCCTGTCCCCTCTGCAAGCTCTCCCCCACGGAGCAACAGGGTGGTGACACAGGTTGCTCCGCCCTGGCCATTCCCTAAGGCTCTGCCCCACACGGGTGCCTTCTCTACAACAGGCCACCTACCAGGACAGGGAGTCAAAGCAGCTCTGCCCAGTACTCGGAAACAAACACAGGGAGGCTGCCAAATTGAGGAGACGAAGAAACACAGCCCGAATGAAAGAACAGATCAAAACTCCAGAAAAAGACCTAAATGAAATGGGGATAAGCAACCTACTGGATGCGGCATTCAAAACACCAGTTATTATCAGGATACGGCAGGAACTCACTGGGTACTTCAACGGTGCAAAAAAGACCCAGACAGAAACGAAGGTCACTCTAAGAGGAATAAAGAAAAATCTACAGGGAACCAACAGTAGAGAGGACGGAGCCAAGATTCAGATCAACGATTTGGAACATGAGGAAGGAAAAAAGCATTCAATCAGAGCAGCAGGAAGAAAAAAGAATTCAAAAAAACGAGGATAGGCTTAGGAACCTCTGGGGCATCTCCAAATGTACCAACACCCGAATCATATGGGTGCCAGCAGAAAAGGAAGAGCAAGAAATTGAAAACTTACTTGAAAAAATAATGAATGAAAATGTCCCTAATTTGGTGAAGGAAATAGACATACAAGTCCAGGAAGCACAGAGAATCCCAAACAAGATTGACCCAAAAGAGGACCACACCATGGCACATCATAATTAAAATGCCAAAGATGAAAGATAAGGAGAGAATCTTAAAAGCAGCATGAGAAAAGCAGAGAGTTCCCACAGAATGTCAGCTGACTTCTCAAAAGAAACTTTGCAGGCTAGAAGGGACTGGCAAGCAGTATTCAGAGTGATGAAAAGCAAGGACCTACAGCCAAGACTGCTCTATCCAGCAAGCCATCATTTAGAATGGAAGGGCAGATAAAGTGCTTCCCAGATGAGAAAAAACTAAAGTTCATCATCACCAAGCCATTATTACATGAAATGTTAAAGGGACTCATTTAAGCAAAAGATCAAAACTATGAACAATAAAATGGCAACGAATTCACAACTAACAGTAACTGAATTCAAATAACAGACTAAGCAAACCAGAAAAGAAACAGAATCACAGAAATGGCCATCACCGGGAGGGTTATCAGCAGGGAGGTGGAGTGGGGAGAGAGGGGGAAAAGGTACAGGGAATAAGAAGCATAATTGGTAGGAGCAAAATAGACCAAGGTGGGAAGGCCTGGGTGGTGGGGAGGGGTGGGGGGGAAGGCAGAAAACTGTACTTGAACAATAATTTTTAAAATGTTAAAAACAAACAAACAAAATAGAGGAACATTAAGAACAGTATAGGAAATGGAGAAGCCAAAGAACTGACATGCAGGACCCCTAGACATGAACTGAGAGGGCACTGCTGGAGGGAAGCTGGTGCTGGCGGAGGGCAGGAGATACAGACGTGCTGAACGGCTCTGTGCAACCCAGTCGACAAACCCCGAACGTGGGACTTCTCCCAGGCTGTCCGAAGTGGAAACCGTTCAGAAAGGAAAGGGATGGACGGGAACCTCTGGACAAGACTTCAGAGACAGAGGGAACTACAAGGCGCAAGCCCAGCGGCAATGTCCCGGGAGTCGGGGGTCAGGCACCGCAGGGCCGCAGTCGCTCGGGGAAGCAGGAGACTGCCTGCTCCGCCTTCAGGAGGGCGGGAGGGCACCTCGGAGGCTGGCACACCCTGCTTGTCCATACTTTGTGATCACTCATCCAACTGTTTTGTGATATTTTTCTGTATTGGTGTTTTATTTTAAAAAAACAGCAGTCCTGGCTGGAGTGGCTCAGTGGATTGAGCACTGGCCTGTGAACCAAAGGGTCACTGGTTTGATTCCCAGTCAGGGCACATGCCTGGGTTGTGGGCCAAGTCTCCAGTAGGGGGCGCATGAGAGGCAACTGTACATTGATATTTTTTTCCCTCTCTTTTTCCCTCCCTTGCCCTCTCTAAAAAGTAAATGAATAAAATCTTAAACAAAAAAAATACAAAACAGCAAAAGGTACAGAGAAATGCAGGAGCCTGCCAGGAGGGTGGCTGCCGTGTGACTTGGGGCATACCGGTGTCCCCTGGCGTGGGGCCTGGCGTGGGTGGCCGAGGCAGGCCATGGCCACAGTGGGCGGGAAGCCGAGCCGTGGATTTCGGGGAAACAAGGCAGCCTCTCACAGAACGCCCGGCTTCGTTCTGGCCCAGGTACCCGGGGCGGGGCTTGGACTCAGCCCAGGTTAAGGCCGGCTGTCTCTGCACCCAGCCCCACGCTGGCCAGCCCGCTTCTGCCATGACCCCTCCGGGACAGGACCACGGGCCGGTGCACACGTGTGGCGGGCCCACACCTAGTTCTGTGTAAACTGACTCACCCTGATGGGCCTTTTTCTCATGGAAACAAGTCACCCTGCCTGTGGCGACGCCCTGCAACTCGCCTTCGAGAAGAAGGCACCACGGACAACACTGGTCTCCCAGGGTAACTAACACTGTGTCCTGTACCACAACTGAGGGGCTTAAAACAACACGCGTCCATTTTCCGACCGTTCTGGGGGTCAGGGGTCTGACATGGGCCTCACTGGCCGGCTCCGCCTGGAGGCTCCGGGGCGACCCTGTGGCCTTTTCCAGCTTCTGGAGGCGCCCTCCTCCAGCAGCGTGGGTGGGGCCGCCCTTCTCTGCCAGCAGGATAACCTCCCACCTCAAAGTCTGCCCACTGACAGATGGAATTCCCTTTGCCGTGTAGGCTGACCTGGTCATGGGCTCTGGGGACCAAGGTGTGGACACCTTTGGGGGCCACATGCTACCTCCACAGATGGGCTGGTGAGCCGGTGCCAGGACCCAGGCCCGAGGCCGGTGCTCAGGGTGAGTGGGAGGGGGCTGAGACCACGCTGATCCGCAGAGTCAGCTGGAGGTCCCTGTCCCCCCTGGGCACAGTCTTGGAGGCTGCAGGGAATCGCCACTGAACAGGAGGACTTATGGCATCAGAAATTCGTTAATTTGAGTTGATCTGCATTTTGCTAATTTGTACGCCTTAATAATCATGTATGTCCTGGGCAACCAGTATTTTTGAAATCAGCGACCTGAGCGGTTGGGAGGTGACTGGCAGTGACCCAGCGCTGGGCCAGCATGTGCTGTGGGCGGAGGCTAAGCCCCCACCCAAAACACAGCTCTGCCCCTAGAGCCCCCGGAAGCTCCTCCCAACCTCATGAATGTCGTCCTGGGGCCCAGAATCACACCACCTGGGAACCTGTCCTAGGGAACTCACTCTAAAGGGAGACAGCCGCTCCAGCCTGAGGACCCGGAGAGCAGCCTTCCCTGGAAGGGTGACTAATCAGAGACAAGCTAATTGGCCGAGAGCAGGGGGACCAGCGGGTGGTGACAGCTAAGCCCTGTGATTACAATGACGAGTCTGAAGAGCACAGGCCAGGTGCTTTGGTGGCGGTGAGGGGAGCAGGCCCGTAAGTCGGAGGCCCATGCCCTTGGACCCTTAAATAGTACACAGGAGGCCATGGGCGGAGGCTCCCTGGCTGTGGAGCGCAGGGCTCTCCTCTGGACGTCTCAGACTTGCCGGATTTCCCGGGACAAACACGAGGGAAGAGCCTGCCTTTAACCGAATGAGTCAAGTCGCTGGTGTGCAAACAGAATTCAGTGAACACTCACTGTTGAGTCTGGGACAGGCGTGAATGCAGGTGTGCGTGCGAGAGTCTGCGTGTGAATGCTGGTGTGTGCGCATGCATGTGGATTAGAACAGATGGGGCACGGGTGTCTGTGATTGTGGGTGTAAATCCACACATGTGCTCGTGGGAATGGGTGAGATTGTGAACACGCGATGAGTCTGCACGTGTGTGCGTGTCTGTGTGAGTATACGTCACTGTGAATGTGTGCGCCCCAGTGTGAATGTGAGGCCGTGAGGCTGTGCGTGTGCGTGCGTGAGTGCTCAGTGCGTGTGCTGGGTGAGCCCCCAGCGTGACTGATGGCTTGTGTTAGAGGAGCTGTGGTTTGGTGGCACCGCTCCGAGGGCCAGGCCCCGCCTGCAGATCTGGCTCAGAGCCGGGCTCCGGCCCAGCCCAGGTGCGGTCTGCACTCGCTGCCCAAAGCAGCCCCAGCTCCTGGCCCCTCCACACACCCCGCCCCCCATGCCGGAACGGCCATGGGAGCCTGGACTGCAGCTGAGCACCAGAGCCAGCTGTCGAGCTGCGCAGAGGAAGGGTCGGAGGAGCCCGGCCAGTCACCCGGCCAGTCACCCTCCTCGCATCGGCAGCCCCAAAGCAGAGGAGGCCAGGTCTTCCATGGTGAAGGCATTGGGCCGCTTCTGACAGAAAGTGGGGCAGCACCCGGTCCCGTCTCTCCACCCAGGTACCCCCAATGCAGCCAAGCCAGGCACCCTCAACTCATGACAAACAGATGACAGGCTTGCCTTGCCACCCTCCAGGGCTGGGGACAGGGCCACAGGGGAAAGGCCCGCAGTGTCCCCACAAAACAGAACTACCTGCTTTTTAAATCAAGCCCACTTTATTGGAAACTTTTCACATGCCACAAATTTACATGAAAACACCCATTTAAAATGCGATTTGAGCACAAAACTCAGGAGCAGGCATCGCCAGATGGACAAGGTCTGCTGTCACCAAGGCAGGTGACAGGCCTCCGGTCAGTTAGTACCTGGCCGAGCACACAAACTGTGAGACCCCCCTGAGATACCGCCCTGCTGGAAACACGCTGGGCTCGGCTGTTTCCCAGTTTGAGTCTCAGGCCGGGGCGCGGGGGTCCATGGCCAGGGAGGCAGCCGGGCCGCCTGGTGTGCCACCAGTCACACTCACACCTGCAGGGGCCGGCACACACCCGCCACAGGTGAGCATGCCAGGGTCACCTGCCTGGACCTGCTCTTCCAGGCCCTGGCCGACGGGCAGCCCTTGGTCACCACGTCCCCAGGTCCCCCAGCCAGAATGGCAGTGTGAGGTGCCCTGCTCCTGTAGAAGCGACACAAAGCCCCTGCACCTCCCTGGAGTGGTGGGGGGAGCTTTAGAACATGAGTCACCCATTTGGTCGGCCTGTGTGACACCACCCTGTTTTTTTAATTCCTGTGGCTCTGTGTTCAGCGTGCCCAGGAGACCCTGGACATTGCTAATTAGAACCCTGAATCCCCAGGGCCAAAGGGACCAGTGACCACCACAGGGGCACCAGGCCGCACGACCCTGTCCCTTTCTGGGCAGTGCAGGGAGGGGCTCGAGCGAGCCCACAGTACTCCAGGCGCCCAGGTCCCACCCACAGTCCCACCTCGGGTTTCACAGCTGAAACCCTAAGACCACTGCCAACAGCCACACCTGCAGGTCAGCACCCTCACCAGAGATTTCTCGTTCTTCTCTTACAAGGTCTGAGCCATTTTCAAATCCTAAAGGAAAAACAAGGCAAAAAAAGGCAGCGGGAAGCTGCCACCGCCCCAGTGCCACCGAGGCCTGGGGCGTCCACTGGGCAGGGGCCTACTTGGCACGAACCAGAGGGCCACGGGCACGAGTGGACTGCGTGTGCCACTCAGACCCTCCTGAGGCCCCTACCCCCACCCTGCTTTTCCGGCCCAGGCCTCCACGCTCTGTCCCCGCAGCCTAGGGAGTGTGGCCCTCAGCGCCCAGCCCTGCAGAGCTGCCCCTGCCCCCGCCCCCCAGCCAGGTGTCCACAGACCAGGCCAGAGCGGAGCGTGCTCTCCCGCCGCGCACACGGGCCACCCTCAAAGGCCTGGCATGAAGGGTCTTGGAGGCCGCTCAGTGCTTGGAAGGGCAGCTGAGAGGCAGGAAAAAAAGCCCCCATCAAATGAAAGTGTTCCCACTCGGCCCTTCATCTTGGAGCAGAGGTACAAGCACAGGGAAATGGGCAAAGCCTCGGAGGGCAGGGAGGGGGCCTGAGGCCTCCGTGTCCCTCCCTGGGAAACCCTGCTGGCTGGGGCCGAGGGCGGGAGGGTGGCTGTGGGGGTGGGGCAGGGGTCTCTCTTTTAACAAAGGGACAAATGCCCAACCTCTCCTTCCTCATGGCACTCTCTCTCACACCATGCACACACGAGTGTGCCCAAGTGCACCCAACCACACACACAGAGCTGAGCACAGGTGTGTGCACAGACACGCACGCACCAGGGCCCTCTCAGCAGGCAGCATATGGTCCGCCGCCCAACAGCCCGGCTCTGCCCACCGGGGCCCATTAGGGTGGGTTCTCTTCCCTGCGTAGATGCTGCAGAATATAAATTGCAATTAGCACTGGTGCCAAAATGGCACTTAGAGAGAATAAGCACATTATTAACATCTGGTGGATCCTGTCTCGGGTGCGGGAGTGGCGGAACGTCTTGCTCTTGGTAAAAGGATGGTTGTGGGGGACACAGAGCAGTCCCCTGCTTTCTGACACAGCCTGCACCCTCCCGGCCGTTTGCTGGTATAAATGGTGCTCGTGGGTAGAAATGCGCACTCGCCAGGGTAGCCTGTCAGGCAAGAGCTCAAACCACAGCCACGGCCTCTGGGTTACTTCCCGGGGGGCTCTGGATGAAAGGAGGGGATACTCAGAGCCACCTGGGGCCCAGGGTGGGGACGGCCTGGACCCTGGGAGTCCCAGGGACGACTGGGTCACCTGCCTTCCTCCTGGGCTGCATCCCACCCTTCCTCATCACCCTCACCTGGTGGTCTCTGGGTACCACAGAGAGGAGAGCCCAGACACTGGGGAGTGTGGTGCTCCCACTGGCAGACCCTCACCTACAGCGGCACAGCCCCACACAGGGGCGCGGCCCTGCCTCTCAGGGCCCAGGAGCCCGTCCTCCAGCCTTCAAGGCCAGGAAGAGATGGGACTGGACCGCAGGGTCAGGCCCACAAAGGTGAAGGCTGCAAATCTCGGGGGGGGGGGGCACTCACCTGGAGAGAGTGCCCCCAGCTGTAGCCCAAGATGGGGAAGGGTGCCCTGCATTCAGAAGATGGCAGAAAATCCGGGGGATGGGGACGGGGGCTGGCCCAGCTGCACCTTTGCAAACACGCCATCCGCTTGGTCAGGGCAGAGCCGGAGCTGCTGGCGGCCGGCGGACCGGCTGCACTCAGGAAGCAGAGCACTGGCGGCTGCGCCCCGGGGTGAGGACTGCGGAACGGTGTGCCCTTCTCAACCTCAGGGAAGGGCATGGGAGTGATGACAAGGGGCCAGGTCCCTGGTGCTGTAACTGCACGTCAACTGCAGGATGAGCTACGCGGAATGGGGCGACTGTCACCATGGAAACAGAGTGGGAAGATGGAGGGTCGAGGACCAGCAGGGCAGTGGGATGTGAGCAGGGCCTTGTGGGTTCTGCACCCCCAGCCCACAGGGAGAGGGTGGCGAGAGCCAGGCCCAGCGTGGGGAGCCACCCAGCAATGCCCAGCATGGGAGGGCCTCGAGGCTGAGAAGGTAGGGGCTGCAGCTGGGCACGGGAGAGGGGATAGGCCCTGGACCCTGGGAGGTCGGGCCTCGGTTTTGGAACAGCTGCGCAGAACTTTTAAAGTGCTAAATAAAGCTATCTGAAACGGGGAGACCGGTCACTGCTCCTGCCTGGTACACCCTCTCTTGGCTCGGTCATGCAGCCACACGCCTGCTTCCCCAGAAACATGGACCTCTGCAGGGGACTGCAGCCGCTGGGGAGGCCCTCCCCCTGGGCGCTGCCCAGCACTGCTCGGGCCTCGTCTGAGGTCAGCTGGAGGGAAACTCCAGAGACACAGCTGGGTGAACTCGTGTCTTACTGGGAAGGACAGCCCCAAATCTGCAGCCACAAGACTTGCGAGCTCCTCGCTGTGGCACCGCTGCCCAGAAGGGGCGGTGCATCTCACAGGGGAGCGTGCCCACCCACAGGCACAGCCACCCCCAGCCCTGGGCCTCAGGCCACCCCTCCATGCAGCCCGGTGGCAGGTGGCCAGGGACACATGAGCAGAGGGACACTCCTGGGGGGTGGAGTGAGGGGCAGCATGGGCCACACAGCACTCTGGGGACCTGGCCAGAGCCCCAGGGAGCCAGGACATCAGGGTCTGCGTCTCTGTTCAAAAACGCCCTCGGCCGGGTCTGAGGGAAGCAGCCACCAGCTTGCCCCACCTGTCCTCACGCTGTTGCAGCCCACAGTTCACTGAGCGAGGAGTCCTCACCAGGGAACGCAAGAGGAAGCATCGGAAGCCCTGGGGCACCAGGTACCCAGGGAGATGCCTCCTTTCCTCTTGTGACCCACCCAGTGGTCCCAGGGTCCGGCAGGCAAGTCAGGGCTCTGTGGACAGGCAGGAAGCATCAGAGGTGGCCTGGGTGGGGGGCCGGCCCGGAAGGGGCTCTGCCTGGTGCTGGCCATCCATCACCACCACAGGTTTGGCGGCTCCTCAGCCACTCTGCTCTTAAACAAGGTGATCTCATCCAGGTGCACCATGGGGACATCCCGGATGACGTCGGCCAGGCCCTCGTGGAGCAGGGGGAAGATGACCACATTCAGCGCAGGCCGCTCAGCCTGGAAACTAAAGCAGAGGAAGCCGTTAGCGAGCCCCGAGGCCGCCTGCCTGAGCTACAGGTGACCAAGCATCTGCCAGACCCTCGCCCACAGCCAATGCAGAGGGGCGCTGGGCCCTCCCCACTGGGGCTGGAGGAGAGCCCTCTGGGGGTGTCATCTTGCTGCTATCTGGACCCCCGCTGAGCGCCAGGCCAGGGAGTGCAGGCAGAATGGGTCAGAACAGCCCCTGTGTTCCTGGGCGTGGCGGGGCAGGTCTCAGGGTGGGGGCAGCGCCCCAGGAGCTGCAGACACAAGGCCAGCACCCTCAGCAGGGCAGAGAGAAGGGACAGGCTAAACCCCACAGGCAGCCCTGGAGGGGAGCAGACTCCCAAGTCAGGTGAGGCGTCGTCTGCCAGAGAAGGAGACCAAGGCCACTGCTGGGAGACAGGAGCCACAGTCTGCACATATGACGAGTTGCTGCCAGATCACCTCCCTGCCGCTGCACCCACAGGGTCCCCTCTGAGTGGACGGAAAGCACACGTAGACGGTCTCCACGGAGCCTCAGCCGGGCCGAGTGCTGTGCTAGGCACCAACAGCCGTGCTGTTCCGCGCCCTCCTCCCGGAGACCCCACGCAGCTGGCCAGTGACCCCCTGCCTACCTGAGGAAGCAGTGCTTGGGGAGGCAACGCCCAGGCCACTGTCCCTCAGCCATCACCAGCAGAGTGGGGCCCCTCCCTCCCTGTCAGACTGGGACTGGCCCTCATGCAGCAGCCCAGACACAAAGCCAAGTGCCACAGGAGCTCAAGGAGAAAGGGGACGCGGTTGACCCCAGGGAACAAGACACCCAGAGCCCAGAGTGACTCTAGTCACAGAAAAACCGTCTGTCCCTCAGGTCTTGGCCAGCAAGAGGCGGGGACAGGCTGCAGGATAGGGAACCTGGGCACTTGCCAAAAGCAAAGCACGACCCCAACCCAGGACCCGTGCAAGGGGAGGAGGGGACCTTGTGCTCCGCCTCCCCTCCGGCCCCTCCCCCACGGCCCCAGTGCTGGATTAACGACTCCTGGCGAGTAGATGCCAGGAGAGCACTCATAAAACTCGATGTTTGGGTCATAAAGACGCTGAGGAAACGCCTCCCGTTCTGGGCGCGGCCTTTTCCTTGTTTTGCCCTCACTTTGCTCCAGGGCAGCGCTGTCTGTGACCATGAACCCTGCAGGCCAGTCCTTGTCTGTCCACCCGCCCACTGTGCTGCTGACTTGACTGGAAACAAAGTCGTCTCAGACGTGGGGTGTGCGGACATGGGGTGTGCGTGCAAAGGCGCCTGGCCTGCCTGCCTCTCTCCTGCCCTCCCAGGGCTGCAATGAGCTGTCGATTTGCTGAAGGGGATGGATTTCTCAGCCAAAGCCAGGAACGTGGAGGCTGGGGGCCCCTCCTCCACTCAGCCCCAGCAGCCCCAGCAGCAGCCCCAGCAGCAGCCCCAGCAGCCCTGGGCGGCGGCCCAGGTGCAGGAGCAGCGCTCGGGAGACTCCGCAGAGGGCGGTGGCCAGAGGGGTTTCCAGAACGGCACCCACTGCCCTCTGAGGGCCTCCCCTCGGTCCCCACGGGCCGGCCCGGACCAGGGCAGCCCTCCACAAGCACGCCCCCCGTCCCTGTTCTCTGTGAAGCCCCTCCCTGGCCCCCCAGGAGGCAGCCGCATCGTCGGCTGAGCCCACGCTGCCCCCACGCAGGAGCGGGCCTGGCCAAGAGGAAAGCCTGCAGTCGGCGACAACCAGGCGAGGAAGACGGCAAACGCAGAGAGAGAAATCCCTCGCTTCCCAGGGCAGGGTTGGGGACCCCTCCGCGGGGCAGGACTCACAGGCGGTGGAGGCGAGTTCTTGGCCGGGTGGGGGCGAGTGAGGCCCAAGTGTTCCGTGTAGCCTGTGTACCCTGTGTGCGCGTTGCGATGTTCTCTTGTATGACTCAACGTAGTCTGGGGTGTGAGTAAATAGATCCAGAGAAACAAAGCAAAACTCCTTCCGGCCACCCTCGTCTAGCAGCCAAGCTGGGCTGGTTACTGCAGGCAGGAAGCTCACTTCTCAGGACCTTTCCCCAACCGGGGATAATCAATCACATCTCCAACAGCCTCTGGCCCAGAGGACAAAGGCCAGGCCTGTGAGGTGACAGGTTCCTCCCCCGAGGCCTCCTGCGGCACTCCCCAGGTCCAGCTCTGCCCTGGGCTGGGGCAGGACTTGCCCTGGGCAGGAGCCCTGGCCTCCCTGGAACTGTCCCCACTGTGCCGCCACCTCGGGGCCAAAGAGGCAGCACCCACAGGAATGAGCACAGAGCCCGCGCACAGGGGCTGCTGTCTGATTCGGAAACGCAGCTCCCGCAAGCTCACCGCCTGGCTCCCAGGAGCGGCAGCAAGAGGGGACAGTGACCCTGAGGAGCAGCTTGCCCGGGGTCCCGGAGCGGCTGGGCAGAAAGGCCGGCCCCTCAAGGAGGGTCTGAGGGCACCACAGGGGCTTTCAAAGAGACAGCCTGAGAGACGGCCAACTCACTGCCGCGCACAATGGTGGCGGGGAGACCGCCCCGCAGGAGGCGCCCGCACGGGCCTTCCGCACACACGAAGGGCCCTGGAGGGCTTGGCCCCAAGGTGCTTTGAGTGCTCTGGGGAGCGGGAGACTCTTTTACCTGTGAAATGCCTACTGGGTTTGCTTCTTCGCCTGGGAAACTAGAAACAAGATCGAAGCCAACAGCTTCTCCTCCGCAAATAAAGGTCTTACAGAAAAGCCACAGTAATAAGACCCTTTATAAAAGTCACTTGCGCTATGACATCTACGTTCAAGAAGCACCAACACAGGCAGTGGTCAAGGGTCAGCCACCCGGGGGCTGAGGAGGAAAACCCACCACGGGCTCACAGGACCCACGCTGCCTGCAGAGGCGGCACCACCCAGCTGCGCCCAGACCCCGGCTCTGCCCGACAACCTGCCTGAGACCAGGGAGAGCATGGGCTTCCGCCCCCACACAGAGGACGGGGCCGAAGGACCCGGGGCTGAAACGCTCACTCTAGGCCGACTGTTGCCAGCCGACTGTTGCCAGCCCGCTGTAGCGTCCCCAGGTCCCACGCGGGAGGACAAGAGCGCAAAGCCGTGGCCCTGGGCCACTGGGGCCGGTGGTGCCAGTTGGAGGCTGCAGGCACGGAGAGGCCTACTGGCAACCAGCCTTCCAAGGGGCTGGAATGCAGGGGAGTCGGTTTGGGGTCCGCGGGGCTTCCGTCCCTTCCCTTCCCAACAGATGCCCCGTGCCTCTCCAAGGTGACAACACAGATTTCACGAATCCCCCAAGACCCTCCGTGCAGTGAAGAAAAAGAAATATTTGCGCCCTGCCGTCGTTCCTAAACACATCTGGCCTTTTCAGGACAGACTCTCCCTCCGAGGACATCAGCCCGTCCTTGTCACTCACCAGCTGCTTACCATCCTGCTGACTGGAGGCCTCCCCGTAGCTTCCCCGCCTCCTCCTGACGGGCGTTCGGTTTGCTCTCAACCCTTCTCGAAAGCCAGGCCTGTCTTTAACTCGCCTTACAACTGAGTGAGCAGCCACCTGAGGCCAGCGCGTCCGAGAGCCAGAGGCCCCAACCCAGGTCCACTGCCAGACCTGCAAAGGCCCTGGAAATACAAAACGACTATCGCCCCGGCGGGTGTGGCTCGGTGGACTGAGTGCCAGCCTGAGAACCCAAAGGTCGACGGTTCAATTCCCAGTCAGGGCACGTGCCTGGTTGCAGGCCAGCATGCAAGAGGCAACCAATGTTTCTGCCTCATGTACAAGTTTCTTTCCTTCTCTTCCTCCCTCCCTTCCCCTCCCTTCCCCTCCCTCTAAAAAGAAAAACGACTGGCGATGACCCAGCTGACACTTTCTCCAACAGGAGTGCTGCAGATGGGACACCAGCCCTGCTGGCTGAGTCACGGGGAGAGAGAGGCAGGTAAGCGACAGAACAGTCAGGCACCAGGCGCTGCTCTGTCCAGTAACTCTGAGCTTGAGGCAGGGAAAGGGTGGGGAAGGAAGGGCATCAGAAGATGCGAAGCCTGCTCTCTAGGGCTTCAAAGGGTGGACGGGACAAACCCAAGTGCCTGGGTGGAGTGCAGGTTGCTGCGAGCCATGGCGCCACCTGCTGGGGATTCACAGAAAAGCAGCAGGGACCCTGCAGCGCAGAGGGACAGGAAGGCCAGCCCACCCTGTCTACGTGGACATTCCCGGGGAGCCACACTGTCTCCTGGCCTGGAAAGACCCATGGGGGGCCACCCCACGGTGGAGGTCTCCAGGAAGACACCACGCAGACATACACAAAGAGGCCTCTCCTGTCATCGGAAGGGCTGTCAGCAGACCTGGGTGTGGCTGCAGCCCTGCTCAACACAGAGGGTCCTGCAGCCTGTGAGCCTTGTTCAGCAGGCGGGGGCCGGGGGCCGGGGGACAGCCCCACATGGCACTCAGCACGGCCCCCTGGAGGGCGTGGGTGCCCTCCCCCAACCCTTCCACTGCTGGGGTCCTGGCTGCACTACTCGCTCACCTCACGGAGCCTCATTTCCCCATCTGCACACGGGGCCACCGGAGCATCCTTCTCAGGGCTTTTGCGGAGCAGGACATAGTGCCCACATGCACAGGGCATTGGGGGCAGGGGAGCGGGCAGGCCCCGAACCTGGGTCTGCTGCAGGAGCACATACAGAAGCCACAGAATGGGACCGAGGCGTGTTCCCTGCCACCCCCAACTGGAGAAAGCCAGCCACTGCCCCCACAACAGGCAGAGGGCAGGCGTATCCCCCGCCTGCACCCCGGTTCCTGAAGCCCATGTGCTGGGAGCTGTCCAGCATGTAACAAAGCCAGCCCCTGACCACTGAGCGCCCAGCAGTCAGCCATGCCAGCCACGGAAGCCGCCACAACCCCGCACCTTGGATACCAAACAGCACGTAAATAGATGGTCTGAAGTTATATTTACGGACACAAGAAATCCACAACGAGAGTCAAACCAAAAAAGTCAGGCGGGAACTGAGCAAGGGCCCCGCCCCGGTCTGTGGGCCACACGGACCACTGGCTGGTGGGGCTGTGGGGAGACTTCACTTAAAGATGGCTTGATTCAGAGTCTACATTTTTAGAAATACTATAAACACGTATTATTTTTACAGCTGGGAGGAGAAAACCTCAGCTAGGGTTTCTCTGGGGAAACCCAATGGCAAACCACAAAGATGCGGTCCATCACACAGTCCGCCGCAACCGAGCCGCCAGGCCCTGTGGTTCTGCAGACCTGGCTGACGGCGCGTCTCGATTTTTGGGAACAGCTGGGCCTCCACCCTGTCACCTCCCCCACCAGTGGGGACGCAGAAAGCGGGAGGAGGAGGCTGCGACCCTCTTGGCCATGCTGAAATGAGGGCACCCACCACCAACCCTCCCCCAGGGGCCCACGGCATTCCCTCAGCAGAGCTCTCCGACTGCCTCCGCCCCACCTGCTCAGGTCAAGTTCTCACCAAGAAGCGCTCCTGACTCGCATCCCAGTTCTGGGGCTCTCCTCAGCCCCCACATCGACTCCAGGTCGACCACCCTCACTGGGCGGCTGGGCCCCACTATGCAGGGTAGCAGGCAAGAGGGCACCCACCTGTCACATAGCCCTGGGCAGGGGGCAGGAGGGGGACCCAGCCCCCGGGGAGGACGGTTGTTCTTAAATCCACCACCTTTACCCACCACCATCCAAGGAGTCCCTGCCACCAAATCTGAATGAAGGGCAGAGACACAGAAAATCCAGAGGTCAAAGGTCTTTGTATCACTTCACAGAAACGGGAAGTGGAGCAGAGGCTCCCAGGGCCAGGGCCAGGGCCCAGGGGGTGGTCTCAGTGGGAGAAGGTGAGAACTGGCTGCGGACTGAGAGCAGTGACGCTGCCCCACAGTGTGCGTGTGCTCACACGCCACTGTCCTGGACCCTGACAGCCCGTGGGAGCGGTAACTTTGTCGAACACACCTCCCAGGACAAAGAGTGCCAAGCTGCACCAAGAGCAGCGGGAGCCATGCGCACTGACATGGAGCGCTCCCAAACACCTCTTAAGTGAAAAAGCGGTGCACACCGCAGAAGCACAGAGAAGACAGCCACGTGTGTGCTCCTCTGTGCAAAAGCCACACAGAAAGAAAGGGCATCGGAGTTGGAGAGACCGGGGAGTCCGGGGTGAGGGGCGGACACCTCCCAGCACGCCTCTTACTGGGCTGACTGCACATGCAAATGCAAAGGACTGAACCAGACAGGATGGGGGTGGATGTTGAACAGTGGTGCCCGGGAACAACCCTGAGAACCTGGAACGTGCTACTGTGCTACTCCGCCTGGAGACCGGGAGGTGAAGACAAAGGGCGGGTGCGAGTACCGCCCTCCAGACGCGGCTCCCAGGGCACAGCGGGTCAGCATCTCTGAAACGGCCTCAGGTGTCCAACAGGACTGCGTGGACACCAGGGCCAGGCTGCCCGCAGCTCGGGGGAGGGGCTACAAGACAGGAAGGGCAGGCTGCAAGGGAGCTGCAAGGCCGGGCTAGAGTTGAAGTGTTAGTATGAACTCATTTCCGACATAAACGCAGACGGATGACGAGGAAATAAACACTGGTGTGTGGGGGATGCGCCAGTCAATTTCCTGCTCTGTCCAGGAGAGAGGGCCGGGAGGCAATGATGCCCCGGAGCAGTGAGCACACCTAATGCCTCATCTTGGCTTCTAAATACTCCTCCCCGACTGAAGAACCAGGGTTAATTCCGGGGCTGGGGCAGGAGAAGTACAGCGTAGCCCCGGAATACCTCGTGGCGACAGAGATTAAGAAGGTGCTCTTAAGGCAGGGCAGGTCGGAAGGGCACGGGACCCAGCGTGAAAGAGCCCGCGCCACGTCTGGGCGGCCCGAGCACCGACGTGAGCCGTGAGAGCAGTGGGCTGAAGCCCATGAAAGCAGGGAGACATCCACGAGGCCACGTCCTACGAGGAAACAGTCCAGGGAGCACAAACATACGGGCGAGGGGACGGAACTGTCCCCACAGAGGCCCCATTCACTGACACGGAGGAATGATGGCAACAGCAAAGCATCCCTGGGCAGATGCCAGAGTGGCACAGTGACCAGGCTCCATGGGGACGCTGGGGTTGGTGGGCCCAGTCCAACAAGAAACAGAGCATCTGAGGACTCTCGAGTGGTCTCCCCACAGGTGTTCGTTCTTCAGGTGCTCAAAGGTTGTGACCGCAACTTCAAGGCAGAGACATCTGGCAGACACGACCTTACCCACCAGCGACAAGACCTGAGGACGCACGTGTCCGACATGCTGCAGTGACACGAACACAGCATCACTTCTGTGGTTTCCTGGCCAAAAACGCCAGACAAACCCACACTGATGACATTCTACCAAATACCAGTGCTGTTTGAGTGTCAGGGTCACGAGAGACCGGGAAAGACTGGGGACATCGCAGACTGGAGACTAAGAAGATGTGACCACTGAGCCTGAAGAGGGCCCTGCATGGAATCCTGGAACAGGAGCGCTGTGGGGAAACTGAGGCAATTCGGAGGTCCGAGGCCGACTACCCACAATGCGCCGTTCCCCCATTTTCACGACTGCTCTGTGGGAACCCAGGAGGCAACGTCTCAGGCGGCTGGAAGACAATACTTTGGACACCAGGGGTGAGGGGGCTTCAGTTGTAGGAAATTAACCCCGTGGCAAAAAGAACACAAGGAGAGAAGGCCCTGCAGCGGACAGAAACCACCCTTTGCCCGGTGGTGTTTAACTCCAAGGAAGAGCTGTGGGGCACTTGAGGGAGCCTGGGGGAGGAACGACACCCAGGACCCCTTTGGGGACGGGACGGTCGCTGGCGGAGGCCTCCTGGCACCCGCGGCCCTGCCCACTCACCTTCGAAGGAGGGTCTGCTGCAGGCTCTTGCAGGTGGCCAGGGACTCGCCGGTGAACATGTGACACACCACGACGTGCAGGCAGCGGGCCATGAAGGCCAGCACGGCCTCGGGCTGCAGGGTGCCGCTGCGGGAGACCAGGCACAGCCGCTGCAGCGCGGAGCACTGGCTCAGCGCCTGGAAGAACTGGGCGTTGGCGCTGAAGTAGGGCTGCTCCAGCCTGCGGGGAGAGAGGTGGCGTGAGTCCCACCGGCAGGCCCAGCACAGAAGCTGCTGAGGGACAGACGTGTGCACGGTGGGCAGGACCTCTGGGTCTTGGGCTGTGAGCACGGTAGGGGCCCAGCCCTCCCTAGCCAGCAACCAGGCCCCAACCCAGCACCGGACAGCGGTGGCCAGGCGGCAATGCCCTGCCACAGGCTGCAGCGACGCTATTCTCCCCACTGCACGTTCTTTGTGTTCCCCAAGGCCGGCCAACAAATCTATGCAGCCTCCTCCCCCCTCACCGTCCAAGGCCCCAGCACTGTGCAAATCACTCCCGGGATAAACTCGGTGTCAGACCCAGGACTGTGTCTCCAGGCCGTGACCCTGCACACGGTGCAGACGCCCACCACCAAGGGGCCAGGGTAAGCCCTCCACCTGCAGAGCACGCCCGAAAGGAGCCCCGCAAGGCCTGTTTCTCTGCACAAGCTGAGGGGACCGGGCTGGCGACATCCTGGCCACCCCAAAAGGAGGTCTGCAGCGGTGATCTCTAGTCATAAAAAGAGAGGCTTCCAGCGTAGGCAGGAAATGCCGCACCACCCCAAGGAGGCAGCCGGCCTGCCCTGGGCACAGAGAGCCCCTGCCCAGGCCCCCAGGCCCCCAGGCCCCAGGGGAAGGCAGAGCCCCAGTTCTCTGGACACAGCCACACAGAGCGAGGCCAACCCGACCAGGACGCGGGTGAGGAAGGCGCGGTCCCTGAACCCCCACAGGGACTGCACAGGCTTGGCACTGCTCTCTGCTGCCCAAGGACGCCGATGGGCCAGGCAGCAGGGAAGGGGTTTCAAAGTCGGGTCTGCGAGAACAGAAGGTCACTGGAGCAGCAGTCCAGCAGGTGCCCACACTGGCCCTCTGTCCTGCACCCAGCTGTCTGGAGCCCCTGGGCGCCGACACACAGCCAGGACACTGGGCTCGGAAGGGGTTTAATACAATGTAAGCAGAAGTTCTATCGAGCTCCCGACGCTGTGATTGCAGGAAAACCCGGGTGCTTCTGGGGTGATTGTGAGAAGCCATGTGTCGCCTCCCGCCTACAGCCCCAGGTGCGCAGAAGGGAAGCCCCCAGCAGGACTGCCTGGGCGGCTGCAGCCAGCAGCTGACATTCCCGGTGGAGCACGAGCCTGTTCCTGGGCCCCCTGAACAAGCTGCACCCGAAAGAGCTGGGACTGAGCCCTGAGCACAGCGCAGACCAAGCCACAGGCTCACCTTGCAGAGGGAAAGGCAGCGCCCTTGCTCCGCAGGGCGGGGACAGCGAGCAAGTACTGTGCCCACGACGGCTGTGAACGTTTTTTCTCAAGGAAACACGTGGACACGCTATGTGGTTCTGTTAAAAACAACTTCTGAAACCACCTACAGGGAGCGTATCTGCCAGTGAGAACCCTGCAGACTCAGGACTGCTGAGCTGCGCGGGGAGGGGCAGGCCTGCGCCGCGTCACTAGGTGGCGCTGCGGGTCTGTGCTACCGCAGAGGTCTCACTCCAACCTCCTGGGTCAAGACCCAAGTAGGCAGGCAGGGGAGTGCTGTGTTGGTACACATTTTAAAATGTTTCCGACTGGCCAGCTGCGTCCAGATCCTCCCACCCTGCAGGACGCCACCTGTCAGGTGCTCAGGTGGGCAGGCCCGCGGGGAGTGCCCTGTCCACCCTTCCTCTGTCCCCTCTGTGGACTGGCAGAGCAGACCTGAGGTGAGTGATCTTCAGGGTCAGTGGTGAGTGCAGAGGATGAGGAAAAGGCGTCCCCCGTGACTGGCTCCGCCTAGGGGGGGGCCTGCGGCCCTTCTCCCTACCAGCTCTGCCCCAGCCTCCCATCCAGGAAGGACGCAGCCACAAACCCAACTCCCGGAGAGGTGGCTCAGCTTCCCTGAGGCTCTGTGGGCACACAGGCAGGGCTCGGCTGTGCCCTCCTCTGCCAGCCCCGCTCTCAGCCCGCCCAGCAGCGCCCAGGCCTCTGGGGCAATCTGGGGACAGCTTCCAGGGCCTGGCTCCGAACGAGGGCTCTCTAGCATCCGCCCAGACACCACCCTGATTCCAGGTCACTGGCAGCCTAGGGTAACTCAGGGCAACGCCCCTCCCTTCCTGCTCCACAAGACAGGGCTTCCTCAGTCTCAGGAAGGATGGTACCCTTCTCCATCCAACTTGTCACCCTCTGGCTGCCGAGGTGTGCCACAGACCTGCAGCTGGCCAGGCCCCAGCACAGCAGCACGCCCTGCACCACCTCCCTACTGGAGCAGCCCTGGCTGCACAGAGGCAGCTCCCAGCCTGGTCTGGCTGAACAAAGCTCAAATTCATGGGCCTCCCTGGTGGGAACAGCAGCAGCCGGCCTGGGATCCCAAGGGCTGCCACCTCAGGAATACCCACTAGAAAGTGCAGGAGCTGCCAGGGTGCTCCGGCCTCGGCCGAGTGCAGAACACCCCCACCCACTCCCACCCCATCCCTGGTCTGCGGCTCCTGCCCAGGCAGCCGGCAGCACCTGCTCCTTTCACTCCAGCCTCCCCGAAGAAGGCAGGGATCCAGAGTGAGGGGGCCACTTGGCCACACTTAGGCAAAACCAGTGTTTGTTCTGAACAGGCAGTACTCGGCCCCGATCAGACGTGGTTCCCAGCAGCCCGCGTGCACAGAGAGGCCATTATGAGCTGTGGTTGGGTTCTCAGGCAGCCCACAAAAGCCGTCTATCCGAGTCCCCCAGGCCCCTCCCAGCCACATAACTCAGGCCACACATACAGCCCCGCCCCTGAGGAAGACCTGGACCACGAGAACCCCATCCCAGGCCAGGGAAGCCGCTCAGCGACCACTGAATGTGCTACACTGCCCCACTCAATCACCATCGACCAGCCGTGTCACCCGGGCAAGTTCATTAACTCTCTGGGCCTCACCTTCCTCATCTGCAAAATGGGTTGATAACAGCTACCCTCTTGGGGTTGTTGAAAAGGGTCAGCAATGGTACGTGCAGAAGCACTAGCACAACCACAATGGTTTGACAGCCACCGCCGCTACCACCTCCGTCCAAAGCTTTTGCAACACCTGCCCTCTCCACCCACCTCCTCACTCCCTGCGGGTGTGGCTTGGTCACCTATACTGGTTCTTCCTCCTCCTCCCCTGACCGGTCTTGTCCCCCGTCTGTGGTGTCTCCAGTCCCGAGCACTGGCTGGCAGCCGGCTCCCCCACAGGGTCCAGGGCATCTCAAGCTCACGTGGGCACATGCACACCCGCCCCACACGACCTCCCTCCTCAGCGAGGGCAGCTGTGGCCCACCCTGACCACGCCCTCACCCCAACATCTGATCGATCGGCAAATTCTCCAGGAAGTCAGAATCCAGACGTTTCTGCCATCCTGCCTTTCATCCCATCTCCGTCCGCCCCTGCAGCCTCCTGCCCCGGCCCTTTTCAACAGCCATGTGACCGGCCCTTCCCCCTGGAAACACTGCCAGTGTCACGGGTTCCTGCTGCACCTGGAAGACCTGGCAGGCCCGCCTCCCACCCTGCGCTAACTCAGCTCCGTCCAGCAGAACTTTGTGCTAGCCACGTTCCTTCCGCACGCGCTCTGTACGACACCTGGCCACTCTCGATGCGGGTACCGAGCACCTAAAAGATGACCAATGTCACTGAAGAACTGAGGGCTGGATTTCGTTTCATTTGAACTTGTTTACAGGTAGGTCGCCCTGTGGCTTGTGGATACTACGGCTGGTGCGCTGCGACCCACTGGTCCAGAATGTTCTCTCCCCTGGTTCTGCTTTACAAACTCAGCTCCTTGAAGCCAAGCCCTCGCTCAGCTCCCGCCCCCTTCACGGAATTGCCTTGACTGCTGGCCCCACATCCGGTGCCCTGGCCCTGAGCTGCCCTCTCCCCAGCAACGGTCAGCCCCTGCCATGCGGGGCACTTTCAGTGCCTACACTCGAAAACGCAATCCCCATGGACAAGGGTCACTGTTTTGTCCAGGTGCCGTCCCCGGTCCTGGAATGGCACCTGCCATGAAAGGCGCTCGCACATCTGGGTGGACAAAGGACTAGGCCACAGGCGCCGCACCTTGCCCCACGGGCCCTCTCAGGAAGAGTTCCTTTGGCCCTAAGTCCCACCTCACAGACGGAGAAACTGGGCATACGCAGCCCCAGGCTGACCAAGGCTGTCTGACCCCAGGACTCTGCCATGGCTCCCGTCCCCTGGGACCTTCCTCCACCCAGGTCCCTCGGGAGGGTGAGAGGCGTGGGGGCACTGGACCAGCTCGGAGGCCACCTCCGTGCCCCCCGCAGCTCTGAAGCAGCCTGACACGTGCCTGGCACCACAAGCCCAGCCCTGCAGCCGGGAGAGCGGGAGCCCCAGTGCTCTGCCGCACCCCCAGCGGCTCTGTAGGCAGCAGCCACTGCAGATGCTCTGGGTGAAAGGCAGGCACAGGGCGTGAGATGGCGGCTTTCGTTACCCAGGGCACGTTGATCCGGCAGGGCAGGAAGACACTGGGGCTCCCGAGGCCTGCTCCACCCTTCGGAAGGCTAGGGCTGGGCGTGCTAGGCTGGGGGTGGCGGGGTTCAGGGCGGGGGTGCTGGGAGCAGCCTGGCAGAGGAGTCCCGGGAGGGTCCAGCCCAGGTCTGGCCGTGGGAAACCTTCTGACGGGGAGAGTGGAGGTCTGCAAAGAATATGCTGGTCTCCATTTCCCATGTCTCAAGGGCCAAGGTCAAGCTCTGCAGCTAGACTAACCCAAGCAAATCCTGAATCTCAGCCCCTGCCTCATGCTGCCTTTGCCTCGTCAAAGGGCCACGGTCATGGGGATCGCATCAAACGGGGTCTGACAGCCCTCGGCTCTGGCCCGCAGCACAAAGTAACTGCTGACCATTCCTCGTGGGGACAATGACACGTCGACACGTCACCGCAGCCTTCTGGCTACAGCCTCTCACAGAGACCAGACAGCTGATCCGAGACCCACCACCACTTCTCCCCGGCCCTAAGCCCCTGCAGAGCCAAGGTCAGCCGCCACCATGTTATGGGAAGTTCCTGGGAAATAACACAATTTCCCACGATCAGATCTATCAAGATTTCCAACTATGTCTCCCGGTAACAAAGGCTTACCCTTTCAACACTGGGCCCTCCTGCCACCAAGCCACGGCATGACTCGGGGGGGCCCCAGCGTGCCAGCGGCCCCACAGTAAGACCCAAGGGTGGGTTCTCCGAGGCCGCAGGCTGTACCCCCTCTCACTCTGGATCAGCCCTGCCACCTGCCCCAGAGGGGACTACCATCGCCTCTCGGCAGTGTGCGGCCCCCCCACCTCTGAGGCCCACTCTCCACCTCCTCTGTCCTCACTCCAGGTGGGATGCAAAGGGGCCTTTCCCAACTGGAGACCGGAACCCCTCCAGGTGCCTGGGTGGGCCGGAGATTCTGTCCACGGCAGCCCTTGTGGCGTGGCCACTCTGACGGCCCATCACAAAGACGAGGTAGGAGCTTGGCATCACAGCTCCCACACCCCGGCCCAGCTCCTTGACCCTGCCGACTGCAGCTGCCTGAGACCCCGCACTGCCCAGAGCCCGTCACTGCCCAGAGCCCCTGGTCGGGCCCTGACCCCAGACTCTCGGCTCCTGGAGGGCAGGTCTGAGTCTGCCAACGCTTGCTGACGAAGGGCCCCCACTCTCCCCGCTGCCGTCTCCAGGCCCCAGCAAGCCCGCTGAGGCCTCAGAGGGGCTGCCAGGCCCTCACCTGAGGTCCTTTAGCCGCCTGCAGTGCTTCAGCATGTCCGAGAGGGCGGACATGTAGACCACCTTGCCCATCATGCCCAGGTTGGCCAGCGAGAGGGACTGCAGCTGCTGGCACTGCAGGCCGATGCTGACCAGTCCGGAGCCCGTCAGAATGCTGGGCAGCTGGGCCAGCGTCAGGTGCCTCAGGAAGGCCAGCTGGCCGATGGCGGCCACCTCCGAGTCCCCAACATTCTGCGCCCGGCTGCAGGGCGGGAGGGAGTTGCGGATGGCAGGCTCGTTGCGTGGCATGGCGGAGGAGAAGTTGGACCCAATCAGCTCGAGGCGCTCCAGGAAGGGCAGGTTCTTCAGCAAAGACCAGAACACGGAGGACGGCTGGGGCCCCGCCTGCCCCGAGAAGGGGCCGGGGCACGTCTGCACGCCAATGCGGACCTTCTTGCCGAAGCCGCAGGGCACAGCGTGCATGGCGGGCTGGGCGGGCTTGCAGTCAGCCCATGGCGCAGAGTCAGCCACGGAGCAGACCGGCAGGGACAGGGAGCGCAGGCGGCGCAGCCGGGCCAGCAGCTGGCACAGGTGCTTGCCCGGGCCCTCGGAGCTGTGGTGGTGGGCGGCCGAGAGGTTGAGGTGCCGCAGGTTGCAGCACGCCACCACCAGCGTCTCCAGGATGCTGCTGTCGATATCATCCTCCGCCTTGCGCAACAGGGAGTCCGGGGACAGGCAGTGGACACAGCCGCTGAGGTTCAGACTGGCCAGGCTGCGGAGGTCCTTGCCACCGTTGATGACGCGCTGGATCAGGTGGCCGCCGGACAGGGTGCACCGGCTGAAGCTGAAATAGAAGGGGTTGTTGAACTTCATGTGCTGGAGGAGGGACGAGCCATTGAGCCAGGACTTGGGCAGCTGCAGGGCGTCCAGGGCGACGTTGCGGGCCATGGAGTCCAGAAGGTTCTTGGTGGCCCCGCTCTCGGCGAAGCTGCCAGGCACAGAGATGAGGAAGGCATGCAGATTCTCGGGCGTGCGGTCGCTAAGCACGGCCAGGTAGAGCCGCACCACCTCCTGGTTGATGTAGCCGGGCGCCAGGCGGGCGTAGAAGACCCGCAGGCTCTGGTAGTGGGGCACGTTGCTCTGGCCCACCATGAGCTGGCCCGAGAGGATGGCGCCCTCGCGCGTGCGGTCCAGGATCTCGAAGTAGAGCAGCAGCTTCTCCAGGCTGGTGCAGCAGGGCACCACCCCGTATGAGGGCGTGAACAGCGTCTGCTTGAGCTCCCGCACTCGGCTCAGCGTGGCCTTGCACTCGCCGCTCAGCTGGCTGGCATCGAAGCCGGGGCTCACGTCAATGGCCAGGGAGCGCAGGTGCTGCAGGGCCGACAGCATCTTGGAGAGGCGCAGGGAGGTCAGGTGGCAGCCGGAGAGGTTCACCTTCACCAGGTTGCGGCAGCGGGCCACGTGCTCAACCGTGGAGCCTGACAGCCAGTAGCAGCCGGCCATGTTGAGCTGCTGGATCTCCCGGCCGATCTCCTTCACCAGCTGCTTCACCTTGTCCTCGCTTGCCTGCAGGACAGGATGGGGTGGGGACAGGCAGGGGGAGGGCTGAAGACACCCAGATGCCACCCTCACCGTCACCCCTCAGGTCACCCTCGCCCCAGACCATCGGGGCCCACGAGGACCTACAGAGATGCTCTCCTCTGGCAAAGGGGACACTCCAGCGAGAGCTGGCACCTCCTTTTCCTCCCCACACACTTACCTCCAACCAACAGTCGAGAGCCCCCCGCTGGAGGGGACGTAAACGGTACAGCTGTGGTAGGAAGCGTGGCAGTCCCTCCAAAACCGCAGGCCCCAGCAGTGGAGACCAGCGGCCGGCCCTGGGTGAGCCCTCGGGAACCGAGAGCGGTGCTCACAGCGGCATTCTCCACGGTGGCCCAAAGGGGGGGGGCGACCCAGGTGTCCGCCCACGGGTGAATAAGGAACAAGGGGGGGGGGGTCCGTCCATACAACGGAACACTATTCAGTCATGGAAAGGAACAGAGTTCTAACCCTGGCTGGGCAGCTCAGTTGGTTAGAGCACTGTCCCGATATACCAGGGTCAGAGGTTCGATCCCCTGTCAGGGCACATACAAAAATCAACCAGTGAGTGCATAAATAAGTGGGACAACAAATCAACGTTTCTCTCTCTCTAACTCTCAAATCAATAAATAAAACCTTTTATTTATTTTTTTAAAGATTTTATTTATTTATTTTTAGACAGAGAGGAAGGGAGGGAGAACAAAAGGGAGAGAAACATCAATTAGTCGCCTCTTGCCCGCCCCCAGCTGGGGACCTGGTCCGCAGACCCAGGCACGTGCCCGGACTGGGAGTCCAACGGGCGGCCTTACAGTTTGCAGGCCGGGGCTCAGTCCTCTGAGCCACAGCAGCCAGCCAGGTCACAAGGGTTTCTTCAACAGAATATAAAGAGCATGAGTTCAAAAGTTCGGTAAAATGCATGTCACCAAAATGACAGACTTGTGCTCTGCCAAATCCGCTGTTAAGAAAGTGGAACAGCAAGCCCCAGACTACGAGAGGAAATACTCGGAACGCGTGTGTCTGACAAGGGGCTCGCATCCAGAAGACACGCAGAACTCTTGTAACTCTGAGAGGAAGACGGACGGTGGGAAATGGGCAAAAGCCGCACACGGCCCCTTCCGAAAAGCCCTGCCGATGGCCCACACAGCTGATGGGAACATAATCAATCGACAACGGCCTTGGTCAGGGAAACGCACGTGAACACCACAGTGAGATACCATGTCCCACCCATCAGAATGGCTAAAGCTTAAAAGACTGACAACACCAAGTGCTGCCAAGGACTCAGAGCAAGCAGACAGCAGGCGCCCTGCTGGTGGAATGTCAGTGGTGCTCCCCTGCCCCACACCTGTCACGGCTCCTGTCACGGAGCCGGCTGCAAAGTTAAGTCTCCCTCTTAGCACTAGGCGCTCCAGAACGACGTCCCTGATACTTGCACCCTCCTCCCAGGTGGCACGCTCCCTATACTTTTCGGCCCCTAGTTTTTGCCACACAGGTATCTCGGAGGCTGTCCCCAGTCACGAGTCTGAGCTCCTACCCTGTCGTGAGCTGCGTGGTGCCCCTCTGCACAGATGGGCGTCTCGGTGGTTCCCCATCCCCGGCCTACACGCACCAGGCTGCGCCTGCCCCACGCCTTACCGCATAGTCCTTCTGCAGCAGCACGGTGTGGGTGAGGCTCTTGTCCAGGCACAGCTCTGCGAGCTTCCGGCAGGTGTGCCGGACGTTCACCACCAGGTCTGTGCTGGGGATGTGGCTCAGGATGTGCAGGAGGATCTCGTCGGAGAAGCCCAGCAGGTGCACACTGGCCGTCATCTCGGCCGCTGCAGGGGGCGCGTCGCCATCGCTGGACATGTCCTGAAAATACAGGGGAACTAAATCCCCATGGGATCCCCAAGGGCAGCCTTCAGCCCGGTCTCCCCCGCCAGGGAGAGTTCATTTTACCAGAAACCTCAACTGCAGAGCAAGAGCGCGAGACACTCTACGAGCTCGCTGTGGCCTACACACCAGGATGTCTCTTCAAAAACGAGAGACTCGAACCGCAACTGCACATGTTTTTACCATCAAAGTGATTCTTCCTGCTAAAGACTTTGGTCAAGTCTGGCGTGTTTCAGACTCAACTTAGGAGCACTGGCCGAGGTTCTCCGCTGGTGACACCTGCTGCCCTCTGCCCTCCCACTCTGCCCGCAATGTCAAGCTGTATTGTAACCCTTGGGGAGAATTCCATCAAGAAACAACAATAAGCCCTGGCTGGTGTGGCTCAGTGGCCTGAGCGCCAGCCTGTGAACCAAAGGGTCACCAGTTTAATTCCCAGTCAGGGCACATGCCTGAGTTGCAGGCCAGGTCCCCAGTGGGAGGTACGCAAGAGGCAACCACATGCTGATGTTTCTCTCCCTCTCTTTCTCCTTCTCTTCCCCTCTCTAAAAATAGTCTTTTCAAAAAAATCTTTAAAGAAGAAGAAAAGAAATAACGGTACTTAGGGACAGAAACAGGGCCCCTCACAGAGCTGGTGTGACGGGTAAATGAGTCACTGCGCACAATCCTCAGAGCCCTTTGGGACAGTGACTCCTCTCGGCCCTGTCACTGTGGGCCAGTAATATGAGAGGGTCCGCCGCTGAGGGTGAAACTGTGAAGTCCTCACAAACGAGAAACGGCACCGACTAGGCCGGAAGCGTTTCTGAACGTTAAGAGTAGTAATAAATCATAGGGCCTGCTCCGCTTATCTCCATTTACCACACATCTGGTCCGAGACTCGAGTCGGAACTTCCGACGAGATGCCCACTCATCTCTGTGCTTCTGTAGGTACCTGCCTGGGGCTTCTTCCCGAACGAGGGCCTTCTGACCCCGGTCAGTGCCTCTTTCATGTGCACAACCAGGAAGGAGGGAGTCCACCTGGGTTAGTGTGACACAAATCCCCAAGTCAAGGCCAAGGGAATTCCGATTCTCTAAGGGGAGCCCCAGGGGAAGGAATCTGTGTCTCCCCGACACCTCCCCAAAGGGACCCTCCTGCCTCTAAGGCATCTGAGGGGCGCCTCGCGGACCACTCCCAGGAGAGTGCCCGAATTCTCTCTGCTGCCAGTTCCAGCGATTCTGCCCACAAGCCCCTCCTCTGGCCTGTGTTTTCTGCACATATTCTCATGGATGGAGGCCCTGATGCCTGGAAAGCCCTTCCGCTGCCGTGGAAACCATGGACTCTGGGGAGGAAGACTGTACACCCCAAGGCAGGCACTGTGGGGTTCCACCCTGTCCCCACCGGCCCTGCCCCTGCCAAGCCCTTTCCAGGCCAGGAAAGGGCTTCCGGGAATCAGTGCAGCCTGCTCAGCACCTTCTTTTCTTCCTGGAGGCAGCAGCCAGCCCTGCCCTCACTCCCAGCTTCCACGGGACACGCCCTTGGTCCTGCCTCCTGCCCCCACCACTCAAGGGGCAGGAGGCAGCCCTCAGACCCAAGTCCACAGCTGCCCTGGCTGGCTGGCTTCTGGGTCCAATATTTTGGACCATAAGTGAGTTTCCTTAGAAGTTTCCCAGATCCGATGACCTGAGATCTCACCCAGGCACCTGATAAAAATCAGACTCGCAGACCCAGCCCTAGACCTAGAGACTCCACCTCCAGGGAGGGGCTGGCCCGGGGACAACCCTTGGCAGGCAAACAGGGCTCCGGCACCGAGGGAGCCTGGGGACCAGGCGGGGAGGCCTGAGGTGGACCCCTCCTGATCCCCGAGCTGCAGATTTACCAAAGTAAGACCACTGTAGACTGATGACAACATAGGGCAAGACACTAGGAAATTCCAAATGACGTGACTTCCAGTTATACAAGTACTACTAAATTTCTCTTAAAACCATTTAGCAGTTGCAAGAATTAAAAAAAAAAAAGGGAACTGAGTCACGGCTCCTTCCGTCCGGTCTCAGCACACCCCAGGAGATGGTCTCTGGCCCGCACCGTGCCCCGAACCCTGGGCCGGCCTGAAGGATGAGGAGCCACTTTGGGAGCAGGTCTCCTCACTCCCCTGGGTCTGGCAACTTCAGCCAAGGCTCCCTCCTCAGTGAAGCCCTCCGGGCATCCCCCAGACACACTTCGCTCGTCCCTCCACCTGGGCTGTGCCAGGTCCCCTCCTCCTGCTCCTGACCCCAGTGTCCTCAGATAACGGCAATAATTTGCTTGCTCATTTATCCCCTCGCTAGGTGAGGGGTGGCTCCTGAACAGGGATCTCTTTTTTTATTAGATTTTCTTTTTTTTTTAAATTTATTTATTATCTTTAGAAGGGAAGGGAAGGAGAGAAGGAAAGAAATATCAATGTATGGTCGCTTCTGGTGCATCCCCTGCTGGGAACTGGCCTGCAACCTAGGCATGTGCCCTGACGGGAAATTGAACTGCGATCTTTTGGTTCATAGGCCCGTGCTCAATTCACTGGGCTACACCAGCCAGGGCCTAGATTTTATTTCTTTATCTTTAGAGAGAGGGAAGGGAAGGGAAGGAGAAAGAGAGGGAGAGAAACATCTATGTGTGGTTGCAATTGGGGCACCCCCTACTGAGGACACAGCCCACAACCCAGGCACATACCCTGACTGCGAATCGAACTGGCCACCCTTTGGTTTGCAGGTTCACGCTTAATCCACTGAGCCACATCAGCCAGAGCAGAGATCGGTTTTTAACACCCAAGAGAAAGAGGCACTGACCCAGGTGAGTCAACGAACCACCTGCGTCAGAGGCATTTGAAGCGCTATTAGAAATGGAGCTCCACTCCTCGGAAGCCCTGCGAGGAGCCCTGGGCACCTGCGCTATACAACCAGCAATAACCGCCCTGGCTGGTGTGGCTCAGGAGGCTGGGCGTCATCTCGCGCACTGGAAGGTTGCAGGTTTGATTCCCACGCACAAGCCTGGGCTGCAGGCCTGGTCCCCAGCTGAGGGCGTGTGAGAGGCAACTCAGTGTTTCTCTCCCTCACTTTCTACCTCCCTTCCCCTCTCTCTAAAAATAAATCAGCAAAGTCTTTTAAAAATAATAATATAGCCCTGGCTGGTGTAGCTCAGTGGATTGAGCACGGGCCTGCGAACCAGACAATCACGGTTCGATTCCCAGTCAGGGCACATACTGGGGTTGCAGGCTGGTTCCCTGCAGGCCAGTTCCCAGCAGAGGACGCATGAAAGGCAACCATACGTTGATGTTTCTCTCCCTCTCTCCTTCCCTTCCCCTCTAAAGATAAATAAAATCTTTAAAAAATAATAATAATATAATCAGCAATGACTGGTCCTAGCCGGGCAGTGCTGGTCACAGCACTGTGTCCATAGCCCAAGGTTGCAGGTTAGATCCCCGGCCAGGGCACATGCAAGAAGCAACCAATGAATACACACACAGGTGGTACAGCAAATCGCTGTTTCTCTCTCTGCCTCTACATCATCATACGGTCATATCACCATCATCATCATCACGCCAGCAGTGACTTTCGAAATCAGAACACACCTTCTGGAATCAGATTATGAGGATGGTTGCACAACCCCAAGAATATATATGTATTTTAAGCTAATTTCCTTTTCCTTTTTTTCTTTAATTCTCACCCAAGAATGTGTTTACTGGTTTTAGAGAGAAAAGGAAAGAGAGAGAGAAACATCAATCAGGAGCCTCTCATATGGGCACTGACCAGGGATCGAACCTGCAACCCAGAAATGTGCTCTGACAGACAATGGAACCCACAACTTTTTGGTGTGTGGGATGACACTCCAACCAAATGAACCACCAAGCCAGAGTGTGAATATGTTTTTTAAAGCCACCGAGTTGTGCACTATAATTGTGTGAATGTTATGCCCTGGCTCGTGTGGCTCAGTGCACTGAGCGCTGGACTGAGAAGTAAAGGGTCACAAATTTGATTCCTAGTCAAGGCACATGCCTGGGTTATGGGCCAGGTCCCCAGTAGGGGGCGCGAGAGAGCCAACCACACAGTGATGTTTCCGTCTCTTTCTCCCTCCCTTCCCCTCTAAAAATAAACATTTTTAAAAAATAGAAAATGAGACCAAGAAAAGGGGACCTTGATCACCACATCCACCTTGGTGGATAGATCTTGGTGGATAAAGACTCCTCTCTCTCCTCTCACCCGGCAATGCAATAGCAGGCCTCACTGACCTGGTCCAACCTGTGCTTCAAGGAACAGGGAAGGCGGGGCCTTTGTGGGGGGACCCCATAAGACCAAGGTACCAGACAGCAGACACTGCCTCCCCAACCACGACCTCAAGAACGCACCACCCACCAGAATCTGCCGCCACAGCCAGGCTACCCTAGGGCTCCCCCTCAGGGAGGCACAGCTTCCCTGCCCTTCCATCCAACGCCAGTCTGCGGTGGGTCCCACACCCCTCCCCTCAGTCGCGGAGCCACAAGGGCCACTTCTGAGCGGAGTTCACTTCAAAGTTAGGGGAGCTGTCAGCCACTCCCACCCGCCTTCCACAAACCCCAGCCCCATCCTCTCCTGTCCCCCAAGCCCTAGGCAAACCCCTAAGTCAGAAGTGTGCTCCCAGTCGCGGATGACAGATATAAACACAGGTGCATATGAAGGTAGGTGGGGAGCAACAAAAAGGAAGGCGCTAGTCCGAGTCCAGATTCCCCCATGCCCTGGTCTGCAGAGAAAATACCTCGCAATACTTCACAGAGAGTCGGTGGGTTCTCCATTGGACCAGATTAGTGGAGCGTTGGGGAAGGAATTCTGGGTAACTCCTAAGTCCCCCCAGTTGAAATGGCTTTTCCTTGACTACCCACCAAGTCACACAAGTAGGCACCCCAAAAATGGGCTGGACAAAGACTAAGGATAGGATGCGAGGCGGTCGGGGGGTGGGGGTGGGGAACCCGTGGGGGCACGGGGAAAGTGCCTGTTTAGGCCTTCAGGAGCCTGGAAACGAGGCGGGGAGGCGGGGAAGAACTCTGGGGGTCAGGAATGCAGTGCTGGGAAAGGCACGGACACCCAGACGGGAAGAGAGCTTGTGCCTTCGGAGACCAGGGCGAAGGCCTGGAGGGCAGGATGGGGCAAGGCCAGGGTCAGGATGGGAGAGAAGGGGCGAGGCCGAGTTCAGGGCTGGGACAGAAAGATCGAAGGCCGGCCGACGCCAGGGTCGGAGTGGAAAGGACCAAGAGGGGCCGGGGTCCGACGGGAAGGACGGAGTAGGATGAAAAGAATGCAGAAAAACCGGAGCCGGGATGGGAAAGACCGAGCGGGGCCGACGCCGCCGGACAAGAAGTAGATCGGAGAGAGGCGACCGCCGTACCTCTCGGGAGCTGGCCATGTCGAGGTGGGTGCGAGCCGCGGCGGCGGCGGGAGCCGCAGCCCCAGGGCCTCACGCCTAGCGGACCAGAGATGCTCAAAGCAGGCGCGTCCACGGCTCCACAGAGACCCCGGTAGGGGGCGGTGCCTCCCGTCACTTCCGGCGCCCTCCCTACGCACTTCCGCTCGCCCGCCGGCTTGCGCGGTCGCCATGTTGGATGCGGCGCGGCAGACAAGAACCCGCTGAGGCGTGGAGTGAAGCTGGGAGTACCCCAGGGGGTTCTTGCTTGCTCTCTGACCCCATCTCCTGACTTTCATGACTTTAAATTTAAGTAGCCACGCCTGGCTCGTGCTCCGTGGGACTGCGCAGCAAAAGTGAAGTCCCGTGAAGGCAGGCACAGTGTTTCCGTGTTACTGCCGTACCCCTAGCGATGTGTGTCCGCTCAGAATACAAGATGAATAATGAACGCGTGAGTGAAGGAGGGCACCAGCCCCTGGCAGGGGTTTCTGAATGATTCCAGCCTCTGTGTGCCTTGTGTGATTCCAGGCCGGAAGACGTGTTCGAATCCTGACACTTCTGTCCATCTTACCCGCCAAGCCTCAGTTTCCCCATAAGGAAGTGGACTGCCCTGTATCAGCGTGACCATGAGCACCCTCCCTGCGACCTCACCACCCAGCACCTGGATGAAGGGAAGGATCTCGGGTTCGAAGCCCCTGCACTAGCCTGGACCCCCTCCTCTCACACAGGCTTATTGGGGTGCATTTCTGTCTGGTCAGGGCTGCTTTGAAGAGGAAATATTCCAGCAAGACAGGTTTCAGCTCATTCAAAAGGTGGACCTCGGGCAGTCAGAGCTGCCTCATGGGGGAGCCAGCCACCTGAGAAAGCGCATAGTTCCTGCCCCAGGGCTAGACAGCTGCAGGAGTTAGGAGTAAATTCCACCTTTCTATAAAACAGAACAGTCGTGTTGACGGACGGGTGGTCTGTCCAAGGAGGCAGTGAAGCAGGCAGTGATTGGACTGCCTGCATGTTAGGGTCAAACTCCATCTTCCTCTCTTATAATGTGTGTGACCTGGGGCCAGCCACCTGTCCTCTCTGAGCCTAATATGTGCTAAGAGGGGGACAGACGGGACCCCCTCACTTAACCTGGCTTGGGAGATGCTGGCCCTTCGCTCCAAGCCAGGCGTCAGATGCCCTGCCCACCTGCTGGCCCTGGAGGTGAGGAGCAGGGCATCAGGGACTGTGTGAGTCAGGTGTGGGTCTCAGCTGCACTTCCAGAACTTTTCAAAGGAAAAAAAATGGTGGAGGACCTGCTCAAAACCACCCTTGCAGCTCTTACCGATGCTCCCATCTCTCAGGCGTACACAGGGACAGTGACCAGTGGCTTCCCGAGGCTTCCGGCCCCAGCCACCCTGCTGTTCTGCCCCAGGCTTCTGTCCCCAGTCAATGCTGGCCTCTGGGACGAGCATGCGCAGCACCCACCCAGGAGACCGTCTAGCTCCAGGGACCACTCAGGGGTCCTTGCCACAGGAAGCCTCCGGGGAACCCGCCTCTGGGGAAGCCGCCTCTGGAGTGATACTCCCCACTCACTGGTTGTCTGGGTTCATGATCTTTTACTACCTTGTCTGTCATTGAAAAAAGGCAAAATGATTGAAAAAGAAAAAAACACTCAAATAGTGGCTGGAGGAAGGAAAGAGGGAAGTGGGGTGGGGGGTCTCCCCAAACTATCAGGTCCTGCAGGGCAGGGTCTGTCAGGCCATCCTAGTTGCCCCAGGCCCAGCAAGTGGGGCCTCGATGAATAAATGCCCATGGAATGAGTAAGTGGCCCAAGTTGAAAACTTCCTTTTAGCTCCCAGCGCCTGGGGCGTACCGCCATCCCCCACTGGCCCAGAAGAGCTGTTAACTGGCCAAGGAGGGACTTCCTCTCACAGACCCAGCTTACGAAGGCCCCTAAGACTGTGGGGTTGGGGAACAGAGACACATTAATTCCTGGGCACTTGCCTCCCACCCGCCCTGGGCCAGTGCTGCAGCCCAGGGGGACCTGCTGTGATGGTTTAAGAACTAGAGTAGGGAAACCTGCCCAGATGAGCTAGGAGCCCAGTCTCCCACTTGGCTTCCTTGGGTTCGGAAGCCATCACGAGGTCTGAAAACAGACTCCTTCCTTAATTGCCTTGTACTGATGGTAAAATTACTGTCTGAATGCGCAAACTGCTCTTCTGTAAGAGGACCCTTCTGGGACCACAGTGCAGTTTCGAGGGGCTCACCTCAAACCTGGATTGATGGGGATCAATTGTGCCTCACTGCATATGGAGAAGTGGGAGCTAAATCCCACATGGGGGGGGAGGGGGGAGGCTCACCCTTTCCCTTCCCAGATGCTGCTGGCAGAAGGGGAGGCCAGGCTTGGCTTTCAAGAGCAGCTGACTGGTAACACCCACCAGGAAGGAGCCTGGCTGCTTCTCCTGTAGGGTGTTGGGAGATGGAAACCAGGACCACACTTGGAGGTCTAAGTGTGCATGGGAAGGCATCCACCCTACAGCCCCAAGGTAGAATCCTGACTCCCCCAGTGCCTTCTCTGCCCAACCTGACACCCTCACCCCCAGCCCTGGACACAGGGCACAGCCCCCTAGACGGACTTCCCCCTAGGGAAGTCCCATCTTCAGCTGTGTAGGATCTCTCCAGAAGAGCTTATAGTAATGGGCCGGGACCCTGTCCTCAGCCTGGAGTGTGGCCTAGAAGCCACCACTGTCCCTTTCCAAGAGGACAGGAGGACCGGTTGAGGGAGCCCTCAATTCACAGGTGGTGCAAAAAGGTACCCGCCCAATCCCAAGAGTTATGTGGTTCCTAGAGAACAAACTCCACCCCCCTGAAGCCACCTGCACCCCAAAGCTAAAAATAGGGGTGCTTGGGATACAAGTGTTAAGGGCCAGCCCGGGAGAGTCCTTTCACAGGTCTAGAGGTCAGGAGCCTAATTCCTTCGTCTCCACCCTAAGATGTTCAATGTCAAGATCAGAGCACCTCCAACACAACACCCCCTTTGGAAATTGAGATGGCCTGGTCCCCACCCTTCTTCCAAACTCCACCCAGTTGCCCAAAACTCAACCAAGCCAGGAAAGCAGGTTTCTTTAAGGTGTGCACTTTATTGAACTGGTCTCAAGTCAGTGTACAGGGAAGCCCTGGTTGCCTCCACCCCTCAGCCCACTCCCAGGGGACCAAAAAGCCTTCATACATCTCAAGTTGGGGACAAAAAGGGGGGCCCACAATAGCTGACCATTCAAAATAAAACAAAAGAACAAGTATTAAGGCGAAGATTTAAAAATTTGGATTACATAATTTACACAAAAGCAACGCTATCACCCTCCCCTGTGTGGACTCGGGCAAGGAGGACTGGCCCTTCTTAGAGAGAAGTGGGTGGCTTTGGGGCAGGCAAGGGACTTCCTGTAACAATGCATCTCAAGGTATTTGGAATGACTATTAAAAAATGAACAATGTACAATCAGTCCCAGGCCACACTGTAGAACACTTTGGGGATGCTCGCTCCAACACACTGCTGTCGCCTTCACCGTTCCAGTTTTTAAATCCTGAGTCAAGCGCCAAAAAAAAAAATTCAAAGAAACAAACGAAAATAAAACAAATAAAGCCATGCCAATCTCATCATCTCGTTTTCTGCGCGCAAGTTAGGTTTTTTGTCAAGAAAGGGTGTAACCAACTGAGTAACAGTCCGCCTAGAAGCATTTGCGGTGGACGATGGAGGGGCCGGACTCGTCATACTCCTGCTTGCTGATCCACATCTGCTGGAAGGTGGACAGGGAGGCCAGGATGGAGCCGCCGATCCACACGGAGTACTTGCGCTCAGGGGGTGCGATGATCTGGGGAGAGAGTGACAGGGTTGATGACCCTGGCCAACACCTACAGGGGCCCGGCCCACCAGGTCAGACAGTCCGACACTCCATGTGCCTGGACCAGCTCAGGCTGGGTGGACGCTCACCTTGATTTTCATCGTGCTGGGAGCCAGGGCCGTGATCTCCTTCTGCATTCTGTCGGCAATGCCAGGGTACATGGTGGTGCCCCCAGACAGCACTGTGTTGGCATAGAGGTCCTTACGGATGTCAACGTCACACTTCATGATGGAGTTGAAGGTAGTTTCATGGATGCCACAGGATTCCATGCCTGAAGGGAATGAAGACCCAACTTAGATTTCCAGTGGACCCACAGTGTTTACCCTGGGTGTGGGGGACAAGAGACCTTACTCACCCAGGAAAGAGGGCTGGAAGAGAGCCTCAGGGCAGCGGAACCGCTCATTGCCAATGGTGATGACCTGCCCATCAGGCAGCTCATAGCTCTTCTCCAGGGAAGAGGAGGACGCAGCGGTGGCCATCTCCTGCTCGAAGTCCAGGGCGACATAGCACAGCTTCTCCTTGATGTCACGCACGATTTCCCGCTCGGCTGTGGTGGTGAAGCTGTAGCCACGCTCCGTGAGGATCTTCATGAGGTAGTCAGTCAGGTCCCGGCCAGCCAGGTCCAGACGCAGGATGGCGTGGGGGAGGGCATATCCCTCGTAGATGGGCACAGTGTGGGTCACCCCATCACCGGAGTCCATCACAATGCCAGTGGTGCGGCCAGAGGCATACAGGGACAGCACGGCCTGGATGGCCACGTACATGGCTGGGGTGTTGAAGGTCTCAAACATGATCTATAGGGAGAAAAGAGCTTTGTCACACTCAGGAAGCCAACAAGGGCGGGCAGGCAGGCCAGACTAGGGACATGCAGAGAGTGCAAGAACACAGCTAAGTGTACTAAGGACCCTGGGACAGGAAGTCACTTCACACCTACTGTGCACCTACTAAATACACACTCCAAGGCCACTTTGCACCAGCCTTGTTGGCTTTTTGTCACACGACCCAGTGTTAGTACCTACACCCACAGCACTTTGTACTTTAAAACACCTAGTCAGAAAAGCAAACACAAAAAGATTCCATCTGGAGAAAAGCAAATAGAACCTGAAAAGTTCCAAAGGAGACTCAGGTCAGAGAAGAAAGTCCTAGGAGAATGGCAGAAGAACAACAAGTGAGAAAGGGTGTGGCACAGAAGGGCCACGAGGGCGTAGTCAGCCCCGGAAGGCCAACAGGCTACTGACCTGGGTCAT